AAGGTCCCTTCCAGCCTAGGCCATTCTATGATTCTATTAGAAAGGCAGCTCCTGCTCAAGTCAAGCCACAGTCCCCTTACCCAAGGAAATGCAGTTTCCCTCTGCAGACCTGGCCAGCATCAGTTTCCAAGTCCTTGGATTTGCTTCGCTCCAGGAGGAGAAGACTGGTTCAGTCTCTGATGTGGGAATGTGCTTGGGCAGGAGCTCAACTCTAGCACACAAGCCACACTGTCAGGAGGACAAGCTGGGCTCCGCTGCTTGTTAATCTTTCTCCTCCTGAGCCCTGGGTGAACCACACACAGAGACTGTATGAGCTAGGTGCCTGTCCCCTAGGATGGTGCCACCAGCCACATCCCAGCAGCATCCCTTTCACCTGGACCAGAGCTTCCAGGCAGGCTGGACCACTGGGCATCTCGTAGCTGAACCATGCATAGGAGATCAGTAGGAGACCATCCAAATCCCTCCAACAGCATCCTTAGCTCAGAGATTGGATGCCTGGCTGGCTCTGCCTGGTTTCAGTATGGAAAATGGATCTGGGAGACTCACACGAGGCATGTGCACAGACAGGGTTATGGCTCCTCAGTGAAGTAAAACACAAGGTCTGGATGTCTCTCTGCTCTCTAGCACACTTGCTTAGGTTGTACTGGCCTCTTTCCATCATCTCCATATCATGGGATCAGCAGGTAACCTAGGCTTGATATTTGAAGAGGGTGCCCACTAAGCTCTCAGAAACACCCCTCAGAAATACCACTTGAAGTCCTTTAAATAAAAAGAAACTGGAGCTTGAAATATGTACAGAGTACAGAAGAATAGATTCTAGCAGCACATTTTGAAAATCAGTGCTTCAGGCAATCTCCTTAGCAGCTTGTTAGATGCTTTATAAGTGTCCTTCCCAGCTCCAGAAGAAATAATACTACTAATGATTGTGTCAGATACAAAATAATTTCACAGCCTTTTTTGCCGGCAAGCTTTCCAATTTCAATAAATCACACGCCCTTCTATGCAGCTGAAGGAATCCAACACTCGTGGCACAGACAGCTTGGCTGGCAAAACAAAAAAAAATAGTAAGGACACCAGGGCCATCTTTTCCTGCATTAGTTCCAGCCAATTCTTTGTTTGCCTTAGCAAGTCAGACACTTGCTGAGCTGTGATACCTTCTCATCAGCACAGCTGAGAGCTCTCCGGGACCCCAGGCGGAGGTGTTAGCATTAAACACGGAGAAGTGTGATAAAGGAATCGGCACAGACCTGCGTGTTTCATTGGTCTGCAAAGCAAACTGGTGTCCTTGAGAGAGCTGGTGAACATCCAGGCTCCCCCAGGGCTGGGGTGGTGGGACAGTCACCCTGGCAGTGGAAGCCGTGGCACCACCAATATCCCTTCAAGCAAAGAAGTGATTTGCACGTCTGATGTATTCAGGGACTGCTTTAAACAGTGAACTGTGGGAACTAGGAAGCTCTCCCTGCAAATACCCCTGTGCTCAGGACAATTGTCTTTGTAGACACGACCACCCCTGGGTGATTGCATCAACCCACCAGGTAAAGATTTCCAGCTACTGATATGCTTGAGGACAACAGAGATGAAGTGGGGCAGAAAGGACATGAGTGTCTTTGTGTCTTCTACCCAACAAGACACCTCTCCCTTCTAACAAAATAATTGCAACCCGGAGTAGAGTTTTTTGAAATACCTGGAAAC